CAGAGACACACGCACAGAGACACACACACAGTGACACACACACAGTGACACACACACACAGTGACACGCCACACACAGACGCAATGACACACACAGTGACACACAAACAGAGACACAGTGACACAAACAGTGACACACACAGTGACATACACCAGGACACACAGTGACACACACAGTGACACACACAGTGACACGTACAGACACACACAGTGACACACACATAGTGACACACAGTGACACGTACACAGTGACATACAGGGACACGCACACAGTGACACGCACAGTGACACACACAGTGACACACAGTGACACACACATAGTGACACACAGTGACACGTACACAGTGACATACAGGGACACGCACACAGTGACACACACAGTGACACACACAGTGACACGCACAGTGACACACACAGTGACACACACACAGCGCCACAATTACACGCACAGACACACAGTGACACACACAGTGACACACAGTGACACGCACAGTGACACGCACAGACACACAGTGACACACACAGTGACACACAGTGGCACACACAGTGACACGTACAGACACACAGTGACACGCACACTGACACACACAGTGACACACACACAGTGACACACACAGTGACACGCACAGTGACACGCACAGACACACGGTGACACACACAGTGACACACAGTGACACACGCAGTGACACGTACAGACACACAGTGACACGCACACTGACACACACAGTGACACACACACAGTGACACACACAGTGACACGCACAGTGACACGCACAGACACACACAGTGACACACACACAGTGACATACACACAGTGACACACACAGTGACACGCACACAGTGACACACAGTGACACACACAGTGACACACACAGTGACACGCACAGACACACACAGTGACACACACACAGTGACACACACAGTGACATACACACAGTGACATGACACACAGTGACACACAGTGACAGTGACACACAGTGACACGCCACACACAGACACAATGACACACAACAACAACAACAACCGCCATTCGCCACTAAGTGGCGGTGACGTCACCACGACGCTTGTGCCAGGCTATGTGCACCCTGAGGCCACGTGAAGTGTCGAACGCCCGCTGGCAGGAGGTCACGGGGCAGACCCAGGTGCCATGGGTCGACTGACTGAGATGACTGGCTGATGCACCACCTGTGCCCCCTACTGTGCCTACCTGCTGTGCTTTAGCCACCCAGCGCTCCGCTCATTGTTCTGAGCGTCGCTCCTCCGCCCTCCGTTGTTGTTGGAGGGCGACTGCCTCCAACTGCCCAGTAGCGTCCTTCACGAGCCTCCTCCACAGAGGCCGATCTTGACACCGCTGGTACCAGTCATCGGCAAGTCCACTCAGCTCCACGTCCTCCTGTACCACATCACTCCATCTCTTCTCTAGCCCGTGCCGCGCCCGCTTAGCCCCCTCAATCCGGCCAAACAAAAGCTGTTTCGGCATGCGGTGGCTGGGCGTGCGGGCTACATGACCCAGCCATCACAGCCTTGCACGCCGGAGGAGCTCACCGATGGGACCTTGCCCAGATCTTTCAAGGATTTGTGAGCTCCTCACACAATCCAGTCTGGTTAAACCCAGGATGGATCGTAGGCAGGCCAGCCTAAATGTTTCTAACCGGCGAAGATGTTCCATTAGGGGGGTCCACGTTTCGCAAGCATAGAGAAGGGAGGGAATGACCGTGGCCGAGAAGACCTGAAGCTTAGTGCGGAGCGACAGACCAGGTAGCTTCCACACAGCGTTACGCAACCGATGAAAATATATTGCCGCTCGACTGATTCGGAGTGAGACCTCTGCTGTTAAACTGGAGCCAGTCATAAGCACACTGCCCAGGTATGGGAAACTCTCCACTCTCTCCACAACTGCCCCATCACCGATTGGGAGTTGTGGGGGTGGAGTGTTCGATGGTACAAAATACCCAGGCAGGTGCTTAGTTTAGGTGGGGCTGATGGTAAGGCCCCACCTTCTTAAAAAGGGGGCCCACCAGGGCATCCTTCCAATCCTGCGGAACCCGTCCAGTGGTCCAGACTGTTGTTATGATGTCATATAGGGCAGTCTGTGCACAAACGCCACCCTCCCTCAGCATTTCGCTTGGGAGATCATCTCTGCCCGCTGCCTTTCCTGGTCTCAGACTCCGGATCGCCTTCAGTACTTCCTCAACAGATGGCACCTCAGCCAGCCACTCACAGGGGGTGACTTCTTCCAATATTTTAGGCACCGCAGCCTCAGCAGGGTCATCCTCACTTTGTGCCACGATGTTTTCCTGGCTGAAGGATTTTCTCTCCCCCAGGACCTCACAGAAATGCTCAGCAAATCTGCAAACCTGTTCCTGGGGGTCAGAGATTGGATCACCGTTTTTTCCCCTAATGATGGTAATAGGTGTGGCGCTGCAGGTTACTTTTTTGATGGAGTTAAAGAGAGATTTGTGATCACGGGCCACTGAGGCAGACTCCATCTCCTCAGCAACCCGCGACCACCACCCATCCTTGCAGCGCCTCACGGCTCTCTGAACCTCCGAGCGAAGGCTGCGGTAAGCCTCCTCATTCTCTGACGTGGGATTCTGTAGCCGATGACAGTGGGCCTGTCGCTTTTTCTCAACCATCCTGAACACTTCCTCTGTCAGCCAGGGTCTCTGGGGAGGTCTGGACCGCGTACCCAAAGCAGCCATTGCAGCTGCATGAGTCACAGTCCTAAACCTCGCCCATTTACCCTCGACATCAGGAGGAGTCGGGGACGATGCCAATCCCAGCCGCAAGCAATGATGAAATTCTCGCTTGCAACTTTCATCAGATAACTGAGACCAGGCCACTTTAGGTTGGAATGGGGTCCTGGGTGTACACCCACCACCAGAGTGGAAGAATGGCAGGCGCATCTTACAGATGACTAGTCGATGGTCAGAGGGCAAATCAGCTCCACGGTAGGGCCTGGTGTCAAGGACATGGGCTCGCATCCGCTGGTCTGTCACTACGTAGTCCAGCAGATGTTCTTGCTTGGACCCGGCATGCATCCATGATGTTGTGTGGATGCGCCGATGCCGGAACAGCGTGTTGGTAATTACAAGCCCATGGGCTGCACAAAAATCTAGCAGCCTCCTACCGTTGTTATTGAGCTGATCTGGCCCATGCCCTCCAATCACTCCAGACCAGGTGCCAGCATCATGACCAACTCGGGCATTGAAGTCACCCAACATGATGACTCTATCCCGAGGGGTCACTTTAGCCAGCACCTGTGACAGGAGGTCATAGAAGGCATCTGACTCATCGGCTTTGCCTGCATCCCTCCACGGATGTTCATCTTCGGTGGGGGCATAAGTAACCACGACCACCATTCCTCGCCTCCGGTTGATGGGAAGGCGAGCCCAAAGTAGCCTGGGGCTTAAAGCTTCCCACACCTCACCGCCACGCTCCCACACCCCCTTCATTATTTTGTTCAAAAGAAGAGCCATACCCTGTTGTTTGGCAATCTGCTGCCCCGAGTAGAGGACTGTCCACTCCTCATGGTGGCAGGAGCCAGAACCGGTCCACCGGACCTCCTGAATGCCACATAGATCCAGGCGGTACCGGTCCAGCTCCCGACAGAGGAGTGGCAGCCTCTCCTCCGCAGTGAGCGTTCGAACATTCCATGTGGCCACCCGTAGTGGTTTTTCGTTGTTTCTGGAGGAGCCCCGAGGGTAGATATTCAATCTCCTGGCTCCGCCAATTGGGGTTTGGCCAGGAGACGTCATAGACGCCTGGCCCCCCGGGGCCTCCGGCACAAGCTTATTAGTTACATATTTCAGTTTAATTCGTGGTTTTGTGGTAATTAATTGAAGGTGGAGGGGTTACCAGCCCCTCGCACCCGTCCAGAGCCCCCGTTTAGCCCCTGTGGTGGACATATGCCATGAGGGGAAGAGCCAATCAAAATTGGATCTCCCCCCACAGCACTGTCCACGACAGAGTTGCGCACACACACACACAGTGACACACACACAGTGACACACACAGTGACACACAGGGACACAGTGACACACACAGTGACACACAGTGACACACAGTGACACGCACAGTGACACAGTGACACGCAGTGACACACACACAGTAACACACACAGTGACACACAGGGACACAGAGTGACACACAGTGACACACAGTGACACAGTGACACACACACAGTGACACACACAAGGACACACAGTGACACACACACAAGGACACACACACAGTGACACATACGCACAGTGACACATACACACAGTGACACATACACACAGTGACACACAGTGTACATACACACAGTGACACACACAGTGACACACACAGTGTACATACACACAGTGACACACACAGTGACACACACACAGTGACACACACACAGTGACACATACACACACACACAGTGACACACACACAGTGACACACACACAGTGACACACACACAGTGACACACTCACAGTGACACACACAGTGACACACACAGTGACACACACAGTGACACAGTGACACACACAGTGACACAGTGACACACACACAGTGACACACTCACAGTGACACACACACACAGTGACACACACACACAGTGACACACACAGTGTACACACACACAGTGACACATACACACAGTGACACACACAGTGATACACACAGTGACACACACAGTGACACAGTAACATACACAGTGACACACACAGACACACAGTGACACAGTGACATACACAGTGACACACACACAGTGACACACACAGTGACACACACAGGGACACACAGTGACACATACACACAGTGACACACACAGTGACACACAGTGACACAGTGACATACAGTCACACACACAGACACACAGTGACACACACAGTGACACACACACAGTGACACACACACAGTGACACACACACAGTGACACAGTGACACACACAGTGACACGCACAGTCACACACACAGTGACACACACACACAGTGACACACACACAGTGACACACACACAATGTCTACCTTGTCCAGGGTGGTGGAGCGAGGTAGATCTTCCCGCATCACGTGAATTGTGGAATTATACAAATATTTGTTAAATTTGTATTTTAAATTTAAATTTTTATACCAGCGGAGCGCATGGAAAGGCGCATTTAGAGTCGCCTACATTAACACACTCGAATAAGAAACGAAAATGAGACATTTGCAATGTCGTCTTTACGTTGAAATAATGTGGTGCTGATGGAAGATCCCTGTCGATATGTAAGACTGCGTCTGTGTGTGTGTCTGTGTGTGTGTCTGTCTGTGTGTGTCTGTCTGTCTCTGTGTGTGTGTCTCTGTGTGTGTGTCTGTGTGTGTGTCTGTGTGTGTGTCTGTGTGTGTGTCTGTGTGTGCGTGTGTCTGTGTGTGTCGGTGTGTGTCTGTGTGCGTGTGTCTGTGTGTGTCTGTGTCTGTGTCTCTGTGTGTGTCTGTGTGTGTGTCTGTGTGTGCGTGTGTCTGTGTGTCTGTGTGTGTGTCACTGTGTGTCTGTGTGTGCGTGTGTCTGAGTGTGTGCGTCTCTGTGTGTGTGTGTCTGTGTCACTGTGTGTCTGTCTGTGTCTCTATGTGTCTGTCTCTGTGTGTCTGTGCGTGTCTGTGTCTCTCTGTGTGTGTCTGTGTCCGTCTATGTGTGTGTCTGTGTGTGCGTGTCTGTGTGTCTGTGTGTGTCTCTGTGCGTGTCTGTGTGTGCGTGTCTGTGTGTCTGTCTCTGTGTGTCTCTCTGTGTGTGTCCGTATGTCGCTGTGTCTCTGCCTGTCTCTGTGTCTGCGTGTCTCTCTCTATGTGTGTGTCTGTGTGTGGGTCCGTATGTCTCTGTGATTCTGTGTGTCTGTGTGTCTACGTGCGTGTCTGTGTGTCTCTGTGTAAATAGCAGACTGTCTCAGAAATGATAATGCATTCAGCACCACGAGCTGACTCCCACTCTCTCTCTCCCTCCCTCTGCTCCCTCTCTCCACCCTCTCCTCCACGTCTCTCGCCTCCTCCCCCCTCCCTCTCTTACCCCACCCCCTCCCTCTCTTACCCCACCCCCTCCCTCTCTTCTGGTAGGGTTGCTTTGGTAGGGGTAGAGTGGTAGGGGTAGAGTGGTAGTGGTAGAGTGGTAGGGGTAGAGTGGTAGGGGTAGAGTGGTAGTGGTAGAGTGGTAGGTGTGGAGTGGTAGAGTGGTAGGGGTAGAGTGGTAGAGTGGTAGGGGTAGAGTGGTTGGTGTAGAGTGGTAGGGGTGGAGTGGTAGGGGTAGAGTGGTAGGGGTGGAGTGGTAGGGGTAGAGTGGTAGGGGTAGAGTGGTAGTGGTAGAGTGGTAGGGGTAGAGTGGTAGGGGTAGAGTGGTAGGGGTGGAGTGGTAGGGGTGGAGTGGTAGGGGTGGAGTGGTAGGGGTAGAGTGGTAGTGGTAGAGTGGTAGGGGTAGAGTGGTAGGGGTAGAGTGGTAGGGGTGGAGTGGTAGGTGTAGAGTGGTAGGGGTAGAGTGGTAGGTGTAGAGTGGTAGGTGTAGAGTGGTAGTGGTAGAGTGGTAGTGGTAGAGTGGTAGGGGTGGAGTGGTAGGGGTGGAGTGGTAGGGGTAGAGTGGTAGGTGTAGAGTGGTCGTGGTAGATTGGTAGGTGTAGAGTGGTAGGGGTAGAGTGGTAGGTATAGAGTGGTAGGTGTGGAGTGGTAGTGGTAGAGTGGTAGTGGTAGAGTGGTAGGGGTGGAGTGGTAGGGGTGGAGTGGTAGGGGTAGAGTGGTAGGTGTAGAGTGGTAGTGGTAGAGTGGTAGGTGTAGAGTGGTAGGTGTAGAGTGGTAGGTGTAGAGTGGTAGGGGTAGAGTGGTTGGTGTAGAGTGGTAGGGGTGGAGTGGTAGGGGTAGAGTGGTAGGGGTGGAGTGGTAGGGGTAGAGTGGTAGGTGTAGATTGGTAGGGGTAGAGTGGTAGTGGTAGATTGGTAGGTGTAGAGTGGTAGGTGTAGAGTGGTAGGGGTAGAGTGGTAGGTGTAGAGTGGTAGGGGTAAAGTGGTAGGGGTAGAGTGGTAGTGGTAGAGTGGTAGGGGTAGAGTGGTAGAGTGGTAGGAGTGGAGTGGTAGGTGTAGAGTGGTAGGGGTAGAGTGGTAGGTGTAGAGTGGTAGAGTGGTAGTGGTAGAGTGGTAGTGTGGTAGGGGTAGAGTGGTAGGTGTAGAGTGGTAGGTGTGGAGTGGTAGTGGTAGAGTGGTAGTGGTAGGGGTAGAGTGGTAGGGGTAGAGTGGTAGGGGTGGAGTGGTAGGGTGGAGTGGTAGGGGTAGAGTGGTAGGGGTAGAGTGGTAGGGGTAGAGTGGTAGGGGTAGAGTGGTAGTGGTAGAGTGGTAGGTGTAGAGTGGTATGGGTAGAGTGGTAGGGGTAGAGTGGTAGGGGTAGAGTGGTAGTGGTAGAGTGGTAGGGGTAGAGTGGTAGGGGTGGAGTGGTAGGTGTAGAGTGGTAGTGGTAGAGTGGTAGGGGTAGAGTGGTAGGGGTGGAGTGGTAGAGTGGTAGTGGTAGAGTGGTAGTGTGGTAGGGGTAGAGTGGTAGGTGTAGAGTGGTAGGTGTGGAGTGGTAGTGGTAGAGTGGTAGTGGTAGGGGTAGAGTGGTAGGGGTAGAGTGGTAGGGGTAGAGTGGTAGTGGTAGAGTGGTAGGGGTAGAGTGGTAGGGGTGGAGTGGTAGGTGTAGAGTGGTAGTGGTAGAGTGGTAGGGGTAGAGTGGTAGGGGTGGAGTGGTAGAGTGGTAGTGGTAGAGTGGTAGTGTGGTAGGGGTAGAGTGGTAGGTGTAGAGTGGTAGGTGTGGAGTGGTAGTGGTAGAGTGGTAGTGGTAGGGGTAGAGTGGTAGGGGTAGAGTGGTAGGGGTGGAGTGGTAGGGGTGGAGTGGTAGGGGTAGAGTGGTAGTGGTAGAGTGGTAGGGGTAGAGTGGTAGGGGTAGAGTGGTAGGGGTAGAGTGGTAGGTGTAGAGTGGTATGGGTAGAGTGGTAGGGGTAGAGTGGTAGGGGTGGAGTGGTAGGTGTAGAGTGGTAGGTGTAGAGTGGTAGTGGTAGAGTGGTAGGGGTAGAGTGGTAGGAGTGGAGTGGTAGGGGTGGAGTGGTAGGGGTAGAGTGGTAGGGGTAGAGTGGTAGGTGTAGAGTGGTAGTGGTAGAGTGGTAGGGGTAGAGTGGTAGGGGTGGAGTGGTAGGGGTAGAGTGGTAGTGGTAGTGTGGTAGGTGTAGAGTGGTAGGTGTAGAGTGGTAGTGGTAGAGTGGTAGGGGTGGAGTGGTAGGGGTAGAGTGGTAGGGGTAGAGTGGTAGGTGTAGAGTGGTAGGTGTAGAGTGGTAGTGGTAGAGTGGTAGGGCTAGAGTGGTAGGGATAGAGTGGTAGGGGTAGAGTGGTAGGGGTAGAGTGGTAGGGGTAGAGTGGTAGTGGTAGAGTGGTAGGGGTAGAGTGGTAGGTGTAGAGTGGTAGGTGTAGAGTGGTAGGTGTAGAGTGGTAGGTGTAGAGTGGCAGTAGCTGCTGCTACTACTCACCCCTCCCCACTCACTCAACTTACCACACTCACCACAAAGACAAAGATCCCCCATGTAGCCTTAAGAGACTGTAGGGGCAAGTGCTGTTAGCGAGCACCTATGTAGGCTGGCACGGCACACGAGGGGGTGGGTGGCCAGCACCACGCCCGGCCGCCTTTGTCTCCCCAGTGGCGATGTTCACTACACACCGCACCAGGTACTCATTTGAGGCTGAGTCGACCTAAGGGAGGCCCAGGATCGGTTCAGATAATCGTCACTAATAATGTTCGTAGCGCTGACCACTACACTTCCACTCCACACACACCCACCACTCTCTAGCCATCTCCTCCTCGTAGTGACACCCACCCACCCACCAACCCTCCCACCCACCACTCGTAGTGACACCCACCCACCAATCCACCCACCCACCAACCCACCCACCCACCACTCCTCGTAGTGACACACACCAACCCACTCACCCACCCAACCACTCACCACTGCTCATAGTGACACACTCACTCACCCACCCACCTCACTCACCTCACCGACCTCACCCACCCACCCACTCACCTCACCCACCCACTCACTCACCCACCCACCTCACCCACCTCACTCACCTCACCCACCCACCCACCTCACCCGTCCACCCACTCGCCCACCCACTCACCCACCCACCCACCTCACCTCCACCACCCACCTCACCCACCCACCCACCTCACCCACCCACTCACCTCACCCACCCACTCACCTCACCCACCCACCCACTCACCCATCCATCCACTCACCCATCCATCCACTCACCCACTCACCCATCCATCCACTCACCCACCCATCCACTCACCTCACCCATCCACTCGCCCACCCACTCACCCACCCACTCACCCATCCACCTCACCCACCCACCCACCCACTCACCTCACCCATCCACCCACTCACCCACTCACCCACCCACTCATCCACCCACCCACCACTGCTCTTAGTGACACCCACACAGAGGGAAGGCGTCTCTGCTGCTCAGTCCCTTTGGTTTAATTCACAAAAAACAGTGAGCCATCGTACAGCGGTGACACGGCGAGTGTGTGTGTCTCTCTCTCTCTGTGTGTCTGTGTGTGTGTCTCTCTCTCTGTGTGTGTCTGTGTGTGTCTCTCTCTCTCTGTGTGTGTCTGTGTGTGTCTCTCTCTCTGTGTGTCTCTGTGTGTGTCTGTGTGTGTGTCTCTCTCTCTGTGTGTCTCTGTGTGTGTCTCTGTGTGTATGTGTGTCTCTCTCTCTCTGTGTGTGTCTCTGTGAGTGAGTCTCTGTGTGTGTGCGTGTCTCTCTCTCTCTCTGTGTGTATGTCTCTGTGTGTGTGCGTGTCTCTCTCTCTCTGTCTGTGTGTGTGTCTGTGTGTGTGTGTCTCTCTCTGTGTGTGTGCGTGTCTCTGTGTGTGTGTCTGTGTGGGTCTCTGTGTGAGTGTGCGTATCTCTCTCTCTGTGTGTCTCTCTCTCTCTCTGTGAGTCTCTGTGTGTGTCTCTGTGTGTGTGTCTCTGTGTGTGTGTCTCTGTGTGTATGTGTCTCTCTCTCTCTCTGTGTGTCTCTGTCTGTGTGTCTCTGTGAGTGAGTCTCTGTGTGTGTGCGTGTCTCTCTCTCTCTCTCTCTGTGTGTATGTCTCTGTGTGTGTGCGTGTCTCTCTCTCTGTGTGTGAGTCTCTGTGTGTGTGTCTCTGTGTGTGAGTCTCTGTGTGTGTGTGTCTGTGTGGGTCTCTGTGAGTGTGTGTGTCTCTCTCTCTCTGTGTGTGTCTCTCTCTCTCTGTCTGTGTGTGTGTCTGTGTGTGTGTGTCTCTCTCTGTGTGTGTGTGTCTGTGTGTGTGTCTCTCTCTCTCTCTGTCTGTGTGTGTGTCTGTGCGTGTCTCTGTGTGTGTGTCTGTGTGTGTGTCTCTGTGTGCGTGTCTCTCTCTCTGTCTGTGTGTGTCTCTCTGTCTGTGTGCGTGTCTGTGTGTGTGTCTCTCTCTCTGTGTGTGTGCGTGTCTGTGTGTGTGTCTGTGTGTGTCTGTGTGTGTCTGTGAGTGTGCGTATCTCTCTCTCTCTCTCTGTGTGTCTCTCTCTCTCTGTGTGTCTCTGTGTGTATGTGTGTCTCTCTCTCTCTCTGTGTGTCTCTGTGAGTGAGTCTCTGTGTGTGTGCGTGTCTCTTTCTCTGTGTCTCTGTGTGTGCGTCTCTGTGTGTGTGTGTCTCTGTGTGTGTGTCTGTGTGTCTCTGTGTGTGTGTTCGACACTTCACGTGGCCTCAGGGTGCACATAGCCTGGCACAAGCGTCGTGGTGACGTCACCGCCACTTAGCGGCGAAAGGCGGTTGTTGTTGTTGTGTGTCTGTGTGTGTCTCTGAGTGTGCGTGTCTCTCTCTCTGTGTCTCTGTGTGTGTCTCTGTGTGTGTGTCTCTATGCATGTGTCTCTGTGCGTGTGTCTCTATGGGTGTGTCTCCGTGCGTGTGTCTCTGTGCGTGTGTCTCTGTGCGTGTGTCTCTGTGCGTGTGTCTCTGTGCGTGTGTGTCTCTGTGAGTGTGCGTGTCTCTCTCTCTCTCTATGTGTCTCTGTGTGTGTGTCTCTGTGTGCGAGTCTCTGTGTGTGAGTCTCTGTGTGTGAGTCTCTGTGTGTGTCTCTCTCTCTGTGCGTGTGTCTCTCTCTCTCTCTGTGCGTGTGTCTCTGTGTGTGTGTCTCTGTGTGTGTGTGTGTGTCTCTGTGCGTGTGTGTCTCTGTGTGTGTGTCTCTGTGTGTGTGTGTGCGTCTCTGTGTGTGTGCGTGTCTCTCTCTCTCTGTGTGTGTGCGTCTCTGTGTGTGTGTGTGCGTCTCTGTGTGTGTGTGTGCGTCTCTGTGTGTGAGTCTCTGTGTGTGCGTCTGTGTGTGTGTGTCTCTGTGTGTGTGCGTCCTGGCACAAGCGTCGTGGTGACGTCACCGCCACTTAGTGGCGAATGGCGGTTGTTGTTGTTGTTGTTGTGTGTCTATGTTTTAGGAGGAGGCAGTATTCCTCCTGAGACTCCTGCACTTGGTCCCAGCAAAATCTACAGACAAAGAGACAGAGGGACACAGAGAGAGAGACACAAAGAGAGAGACAGAGAGACACAGAGAGAGACACAGAGAGCCACACACAGAGTTACAGGGAGAGACAGAGAGAGACAGAGAGAGACCCACACAGAGACATACATAGAGACACAGAGAGAGACACAGAGAGAGACCCACACAGAGACATACATAGAGACACAGAGAGAGACACAAAGAGAGACACACAAAGAGAGAGACAGAGAGACACAGAGAGAGACGCACAGAGAGCCACACACAGAGATACAGGGAGAGACAGAGAGACAGAGAGAGACCCACACAGAGACATACATAGAGACACAGAGAGAGAGACACAGAGAAAGACACACAGAGAGAGACACAAAGAGAGAGACAGAGAGACACAGAGAGAGACGCACAGAGAGCCACACACAGAGATACAGGGAGAGACAGAGAGAGACCCACACAGAGACATGCATGGAGACACAGAGAGAGAGAGAGACACAGAGAGAGACACAAAGAGAGAGACACACAAAGAGAGAGAGACAGAGAGACACAGAGAAAGACGCACAGAGAGCCACACACAGAGATACAGGGAGAGACAGAGAGAGACCCACACAGAGACATACATAGAGACACAGAGAGAGAGACACAGAGAGAGACACAAAGAAAGAGACACAAAGAGAGAGACAGAGAGACACAGAGAGAGACGCACAGAGAGCCACACACAGAGATACAGGGAGAGACACAGAGAGACAGAGAGAGACCCACACAGAGACATACATAGAGACACAGAGAGAGACACAGAGAGAGACAGAGAGACACAGAGACACACAGAGACACAGAGAGACAGAGGGACACACACAGATAGACAGAGGGAGACAGAGAGGGAGACAGAGAGAAAGAGACAGGGAGACAAGAGAGAGACACACAGAGACAGAGACACAGATAGAGACAGAGAGACACACAGATAGAGACAGAGAGACACACAGAGACAGAGAGACACACAGAGACAGAG